AGTCCATCCCCCCCCTTCTGAAGCATTTGCAGAAGCTTCCATGGGCCCCGCCTGTTCCCTTGGGGAGAACTTGTTAGCATCTCCCTGGGGCTCCTGCAGCCCTGCAGCTGCCAGGGCCCCGCCTGCCAGCAGGGCACAGGGTGCCACAGTGCTGGGACTTCCCTGTTTCCGCCCCCAGCTCAGCCCCAGGCCCTCTGCCAGGCCTTCCTCTTTCCCTTTTCTATTTTTCAGATATATTTGCCTGTGGTAGAAAATTAGGGAAGTCCATGAGAGACAAATTCACTCATAATACACACACCCCGCCCCCCCCAAATATCCACTATGAACTGCTTGATGTATTTCCTGCTAGCCTTTTACTTGAGGGTATTTTAGGGGGTAATTTTTAAGAAAACATCACATATAGACTTGACTGTCGCCTGGTTTAAGTGTTCTGCAGAGACCACAGCGGGAGAAGACACTCGGCAGAGGCCGCTGTGCCGCCTAGTTCTCCGGGCACCGGGTCAGGACCTCAGCAGCGGGCAGTGTGTGGACTCCGCGGACCCTCAGGACCTGGCCAGGCAGTGGGGGTGGACAGGCCTGGGCGTCGGAGCCTCTGAGACCCAGGGTCAGGCCATGTGGTCACGTGGCGTTTCCTGACCAGACATGTCCCTCTCTCATGTATTCACACGGGGCCCGGTTCAGAGTCAGCCACGTCCCTTCGTGCGCGATGCTGTATCACATGCACTGTTCCCCTGCCCAGAGCGCTGTTCCAGGCCTGGATCAGGGGCACCCCTGGGCTTCCCTCTGTCCCATCACTGGTCACGCTGTGCTGTGCGTGGCTGGTCGAGGGCCTGTTCCAGCACAGGGCCCACACGCAGAGGGCGCTTGGCATTCATGGGTTGAATACATTGCACGAGAGAGTCAGTGCTGCGGGCAAGGCATTGTGCCGGGAGCCCCAGGCAGGGAGACACTCATTCTGACTGAGAGAAGTCTGCAGGAAGGCTGCCTGGAGGAGGTGGGATTTGAGTTGTGCCCAGGACAAGCTGGAGCATCTTGGTGGGTGGTGGAGCAGAAACTGGGAGTGACAGGCAGAGTGGGGAGGGGTGACACCTGGCCTCGCCCACCCGGGGCTGCCAGCCCCAACACAGCATAGTGGGAATGAGCCTTGGGCTGGGATAAGTTGAGCCCCCGTTTACATGGGAGAGCTGCAGACCTTGCCAAATCCCCAGCCTGGGTTTGGGATTGTCCACCAGGGCCCGGCCGTGGGGGTCACCTGATGGGGACCAGCTTGTTGGAGACAGGGAGCAGGTTCCGTGGCTGGTTCCCAACCCTCTGCCTGGAGCTAGAGCGTGAATCCGGTTCCCAGGGCCTCGGGCGGGTGGGCGGCGCTGGGCTGTCTGACGGGCAGCTTCACCTCCAGAGGTGCCGAGAGGATGAGTGATCCCGCGTGGAAATCCACATGCCTAGCACCGTGTGCCGGGAGCACAGAGCCCTGGCCCAGAGGGGCCGCTGCTCCTGGGCTAGTCATTAATGTGGCCTCTGAGCCTTAGACCCACCCAGCCGGGGCCTTGCTCTAGGAAGAGGGCTCCTGGGCACCGTGGCCCCTGGCTGCCCACCATTTGATCATGAGGAGCCCGCAGTGCCTGGCAGTGGTCCCTGTCTCCCAGACTGGCTCTGGCCACAGCAGACAGGCCGCCTTTGATTCCGGCTGACCACAGCAGGCGGGATCCTCCGTGGGCAGTGCCCACGGGCTGCTCGAGGCAGACATTGAAGGACGGGTGGGGCGGGCCCTCCTCGCCACCCCTGGCCGCAGAGACGGAGGCCAGCTCTCCTCTGGCCCTGAGTCCCAGGTCAGGCTTAATGGACAGGCGGGGCCTCAAGGAGCACTGGGTGGGGGAGGCGAGGGGACCCTAGGAAGGGAGGAGTCTGGTTATCCTCTCACTAGATGTGTGTCTTCAGGCAAACGGGGTCTTCTGACTGAGCCTCAGTTCCCCCACTTTGAAGATGGTGAGCCTTCCCTGGCTGCCCCTGAAGGGTTGGTGCATAAGTCAGGATGTGGGGAGGGACTGTGTTTGCTACAGACGGGCATGGGCATGGGCACGACAGGGGGCCTGCGCCTGCCCTCCTGGCTGCGCCCACATTACCTCCACTCCCTTCGGACAAGCTAGGTTTTCCCTGGCTCCTGACGCTCAGTCACTCCTGGAGGTCATCAAGGGGAATAGCGGCTGCCACACTGGGCTTTGCAGGCCTGGCCCGCTTTGCTCACCAACATCAGGGTGGTGGGGTGGGTGGTGGTGTCCCCCAGACAGGGAAGCAGGGAGCTTCCTTCAGTGTGAGTCCCATTCCCACCCAGTTCCCACAGGTGGGTGGGGGCAGGGGGGTCTTCAGTCTCATTTTGAGACCAGGAGTCAAGGCTCAGAGAGGCTGAGTGATTTGCCTGAAGCCACACAGCTGGAACGTGGTGCTGCCCAGCCAGGCCCAGGCGTGTGGAGCCACAGCCCCATGTTCATTCTGGGCCCAGGACCGCTGAGAGCAGCGCTGGGTGGCTCGGGTTCCAGATAGCATGGGTCTCTGGCAGGGACCTGGAGACCTCGGCACACTCCTGAGCAAGGGGACTGAGGGTCTGGGCCTCGTGCCACCAATCGGCCTCCAGCTCGTGGTCCCAGCAGGCAGCAGCTTCGCTGCTGACGGCAGCAGAAATCTGAGCCGGGGAAGGTTCCAGAGAAGTTTGTGAGCTGCCTGGCAAGTCAGGCTGGGGTGCGGCCAAGTTAAATGCAGATGGGGGCTCTGGAGTGGCCAGGAGAGGCCCATAGTGTGCTCAGTGGGGGCAGCTCAAGAGGAGGACCCCGGGGCTCTCTGTACCTTTAGCCAGTCACTGCACTAGCCCAAGGCCTGGCTGGACAGGCCAGCACTGGCAAAGGGAAGGGACGGTTTCCTTGTGCCGGGGTTCTGCTGTATATGACAGAAAGCCAGTCCCAGGGGGACAAGCTCAGATCCAGTCTGAGTGACATATCACAGCTGTGCAGCGCAGAGCAAGTGTCCCAACCTCTCTGAACCTACTGGCTGGCCTGGCAGCCTCCAGTGAGTGGTGTGAGGAGCTCAGCGTTAACAATTGTTGGGGTAAGCAAGCCCCGTTCCCAGTGTCCGAGTGTCGCCTCGCTGCTGAGTGTGGGGTCCCTCCGAAGGGCTCTGAGCCCACGAGCCTCACGTGTAGCCCCCCCCCTCACCTGGGCAGGTTCTGGGCAGTGTCCGGGACTCACTAATGCACCGGGTTCTTCCTGCCAGTGTAGGTCTCCACCAGCTGACCAGCCCGCGGTACAAGTTCAACTTCATCGCCGACGTGGTGGAGAAGATCGCGCCAGCCGTGGTCCACATCGAGCTCTTCCTCAGGTGCGTAAAGCACCCCCTCCTCTCCGGGGTGTCCCTTCTGTCGGCTGGGGATTCGGTTCTAGAACTGGGGGTGGTAGAAGCCAGAGTGGGCTGGGGCCTGGTGAACCTCGCCCAGACCCCTGGCTGCCGTGTGCTCCCGGGAAGGACGTCCCCTCTCGGACTCTGGTCCCCTCACCCAGGGAGACGGGCGGCTCCCTCGCGCCTCGCAGAGCTGCAGGAGCTAGGCCGGCGCACGGTGGGGGTCGCTGTGGTTCTTCTCGTTCATTCATGAGCCGGTTTTACTGAGCAGCTACTATGTGTTTATATTCCAGAGGGGCCATGTAGTAAAGCCTAGAGAATGAGTAATCGTGATCCCAGCCCCAGCACAGGGACCCTGCTCACTGGGTGCCACACCTGCCGTGGGAGCCTGGTCACTGGATGCCACTGCCCCATCCTTGGGGGGCAGGGACTGTGCCACCACTGACAGTGCTCCACGGGGGTGAGCAGACAAAAGGCATGAGCCCAGCACCGTCAGAACAGCAATATCCTGCCCTGGTCGGCGTGGGTCAGTGGTTACAGTGATTAGAGCATCGGCCTGGGGACTAAAGGGTCTCCGGTTCCATTCCCCGTCGAGGGCATGGACCTAGATTGCAGGTTTGATCCCTGGCCCCGGTCAGGGCACGTGCAGGAGGCAACCAATCGATGTGTCTCTCTCACACTGATGTTTCTCTCTCTCTCTCCCCGCTACTCCATTCCTTCTTTCTACTCTCTCTAAAAAATCAGTGGAGAAAATATACTCAGGTGAAGATTAACAACAATAAAAAATAGTATCCTTGGATGCCTCCTGTGCTGGCTGCTTTGCCGACATTTCTCAAACAGCCCTGTTGCAGGCCCCCCTCTGAGATGAGAGAGCCAGGCACCCGTGGGACTCACTCCTGAGAGCCAGGCCCAGGCCACCCCTCACTGCCTGCACCCCAAGGCCCTTCTGCTCTGGCCCACGCCATCTCCCCATGACCCCCAGCGGCTGCCTGTGGGAGCAGGGCCTGGACACCTCCCCAAGCTCACGGAGTTGCCAGGTGCTGAGGCCACTGTGACCTCAGGCTTCCTGGACCTCAGAGCTGAGCCCGGCCCTCGGCAATACCCTGGCCCCTCGCTGCCCTTTCCGTGGGCCCCGGACCCTGAGACATGTTATTGAGGAAATTACCACTGAAGGTGCAAAGTGGAACTTGTGCTGAGTTCCTCGCCCTGCCGGTGGCTGGGATGGGGGATACGAGGGAGGGGACACTGTGCCTCTACAGCAGCCCCTGGGCCCTGGGCCCTGAGCCAGCTAATTGCTGACCGCAGCCCCGCCCGGGCCGGTGGCAGTAGGTTTCCATGGGAGCCTTGGAGGCTGATGTCCAGGGGGTGAGCAGGCGAGGTACAGGCAGAGGAGATCCCAAACACAGACCAGATGATCGCCAAGCAGGGGAAGCCTCTGCTGTGACCCCTGACCCGGGCGACGAGGCCCCTGGGCTGCCTCAGGCCCTTCTGCAGACAAACGCCAGATCCATTCATGCCAGGCCAGGCAGGCACCCACGGCAGGTGCTTCCACAGGCGCCCAGGTGTAGCCCCACCCAAGGTGCACCCGGAGCTGGGTGGACACTGCTGGGGTCTCCTGAGAGAGCCCAAGTACCCAGGGTGCCAGCTTCAAACCCCTGCTCTGCCCTTTACCTGCCTGACCCAGGCAAGTGGTTCATGTCTCTGGGCCTCAGTTTCCCCACCCGTGAACTAGAGACCTGCCTGCCTTGTAGGGCACCTACCTGAGAAATCCCCCCCTGCTTTAAGGGGCCTGTTCTCCTCACTCATTTCTGCAAAGCCACCCTGCACCGGGGACCTGCTCCCTCAGGCCTCTCCGTGGTGTCCCAGAGGGTGCCCGCCTGGAGGAGGTCCTGAGCTTCGTCCAGCATTCGCCTCCCTCCGTTCCCGGGGCTAGGCTGTGGTTCCCACTCAGAGGGCCCTGGGGAGGCTGGGCCTTGTCACCCATCATTGGATACTGACCTTGGATCCCCTACCGGCTGCATCGCCCTTTTTTTTTTTTTAATGTTTTTATTGATTTCAGAGAGAGGAAGGGAGAGGGAGAGAGAGAGAGAAACATCAGTGATGAGAGTCATTGATCAGCTGCCTCCTGCACACCCCCTGCTGGGGATGGAGCTAGAAACCTGGGCCTGGGCCCTGCCCGGGAATCCAGCCGCGATCTCCTGGCTCCTAGGTCGATGCTCACCCCCTGAGCCACGCCAGCAGCTGCATCACCCATTTGTTCCCACACTGCAGAGGCTCACGCTGAGGCCGGGCATTGCCTTGTGTGTCTGAGCCCCGCCCTGCCAGGCCCGTGCTCCTGTTCCCCTGTGTCCCTGGCAGGATGGTGAGGGTGTGGAGCTCACTGGGCAGAGCCTGCTGCCACCGCAGTGTGACCACCATCTGGGGCTTCAAGGCAGGGGCCGGAGGGAGGTGTGAGCCGTCCCCCACCTCAGTGCTCACCCTCACTCTGCACAGGGACTGGGGAAACTCATCCCCAGGAACCAGCTTGCGACCGGCCCAGCGGCTGTGCGCACCTTAGTGTGTTTTCCCTCTGTCAGCAACAGCCCTGTCTGTTGAGTGACTGTCTACCTGCCTCCAGGTGCGTAGGCCCCAGACCCCACTGCTGAGCAGAACAGGTGTCGTTAGCCCATCTCCTGGATGGGGAGACCGAGGCTCAAAGAAGCGAAACCACCTGCCCAGTCAGGCAGATAAGCGGGGACCAGGCTCCAGATTAGAATCCTGGTCTGTCTGGCTCCAGTGTCCTGTTGTCAGAGCATCTGCTGTGTTATCACAGGTATAACTCGCAGGCAAATTGCACGCCAGGGATCTTTGCCCGTCCCTATGGCTGTCAGATGGGTCAGACGTAGCGACCTGGCTAAGGCCATGGCCAGGAAGTGGCCGAGCCAGGATTTGGACTTAGGTGTGGGGGACCCCAGTGCGCGTTCTTTCACCCACACTGGCTTGGCCGTCACTGTGGCTGACCCCTGTGCCCAGTCCCTGGTCCCTGAACACCCTGTACTCCCCTCTCCCCCCACAGACACCCGCTGTTCGGCCGCAACGTGCCCCTCTCCAGTGGCTCAGGCTTCATCATGTCAGAGGCCGGGCTGATTGTCACCAACGCCCACGTGGTGTCAAGCACCAACGCCGTCTCAGGCCGGCAGCAGCTCAAGGTGCAGTTGCAGAATGGTGACACCTACGAGGCCACCATCAAAGACATCGACAAGAAGTCGGACATCGCCACCATCAAGATCCACCCCAAAGTGAGTGGGCTGCAGGGCCGGCAGAACTGGGGGGACCTCTCCAGACTCCCGAGCTTAGAAACTCGGTAGCCCCATCTTCCTGTGGTGCAGTTGGAGGGACTGAAGCCCAAGGGACCGGCAATTTGTCCCTTCACGGGTCAAATCAGATGAGAGCAAGTCTGCCTCCTGCTGGCCAAGAACTGTGCTGCTCACAGTCACTGCCAGACGGGGTCCTCCATGGCCCAGGGCACTGTGTCCCTCCCCAGCCCCCTGCAGTGATGCAGCTGTGCTGTGGGTGTGACAGGCTGAGGGGAGCACTCAGGACATGTGTCCTGATCCTCCACCTCCACATTGGCCCCCTGCCACTATGAAAAAAGCCTCCTTAAAGAAAAAAATGGCTTATCTGATGTGGCGCACAGGAAAGGGGAGGAAATGACTGGTTCAGGCCCTCTGCTGGAGGTGCCGGGCCGGGAGGACAGCCGTCAGTACAATGGGCAGCCCAGAGGGTCCACGGCAAGGGGTCCCGCCCGCTGGCCTCCAGAGCTGCAGTGAGGCCCCCATGATCTGGGCATGGCTGGCCCCAGCGCCTTATAAAGAGTTTCGCCTGGAAAGAATTCCAGACCCCCAAACGCTGCAGAAGCGGTGCTGATAGAGCCCCGTGCCCCAGCACCCCCAGTGGTGACATCTGACATAGGGGTGAGACACCAGAACTGGGAAGTTGACCTGGGCGCAGGCAGCAGGGCTTCAGGCGGCACGGGCTCCACGTGCTTGGGCGAGCGCCCGTCGGCACCTTCCAGCAGGCGCACAGGGCTCCCTCTGAGCACGCGTCCTGCAGCTCCGGAGCTCCTGGGCTCGCTGCCGAGTGAGACAGAGAAGGCTCCGCTGGCCCCCGGGGACAAAGAGAGGATGCGTGGGTGTCCCATGGGGATGGCAGAGCTCGGCTAGGTTGCTTTATCTCTCTGGGCCTCGGTTTCCCCATGTGTGTACTCTGGGGGACCAGGTTGAGCTGGGCCAAGGATTCCATACCTGGGGTTCACGGGTCCTTGGCTGGGCCCAAGGCTCCCCAGATCTCCCAGGCCTGTGCAGCAGTGTGTGTGGTGCACTTGCTGGGGGCAGGGAGTGTCCATAGCTTCTAACTGGTTCTCAGAGGGACCTGTGACCAACCAATGGGCTTGATGGCCTCAGAGACTTGATGGACCCTCTGTGTGTCCCCCTCATGATGAATACCTGGGAGGGCTGGGGTCACGCGTGGGGCTGAGCCTCTGCTCCATGGATGCCAGCCTGGGTCTCTCATTCACTGTGGGTCAGCTGGAGGCCAGCTTTGGTCTGTGGGGGCGACCTGCCTTGGCCTTCGCCCTGATGGCTCCATGCAGGGTCCTGGGTGTGGCCTGGCTGTCATCCTGAGCAAAGATGGGCTGCTGAGCCTCCCTCCTGTGTCATCCCCTCCCCTCAGAAAAAGCTCCCGGCGCTGCTGCTGGGCCAGTCAGCAGACCTGCGGCCCGGCGAGTTTGTGGTGGCCATTGGCAGCCCCTTCGCCCTGCAGAACACAGTGACCACGGGCATCGTGAGCACCGCCCAGAGGGATGGCAAGGAGCTGGGCCTCCGGGACTCGGACATGGACTACATCCAGACGGACGCCATCATCAACGTGAGTCCTCGGCCGTCTCAGCGGAGCCCGGCCCCTGTCCCCAGAGCCCACCGCCACTTGACACGTCCACTTGCTAGAAAGGCCTGCCCCCGGGGTCAGAGGCTGCTGCCCTGACTGGGGACAACTCCTCAAGATGTAGAGACAGAGCCACACCCTCGAGTTATCTTTGCCCAGGTTACACACCCCGTCAGCATTTCTTTAGTAGCAGTAGTACATGGGATGGCACCTTGTGCACTCACGAAGCACTTTGCCTGATGTCCCAGCGCCGGCCTCTCTGGGCCGCCATGGTTCAGGCCCTCTGCTGGAAGTGTCGGTCTGTCTCGACTCCTCCTGTGGCCGCTTCCTGCTGCCTGGCCAGCGAGTGATGGGGACACGGAAGCGAGCCTGGAGCGAGCCTGGAGGTTTGTGCAGAGAGCAATGCCCAGGCCAGACCTGACGCCAGGCAGCCGTCCACCTGGTCTCTGTGGGCCTCAGCTTTCTTACCTGTGAAATGGGAACAGCGATGAGGCCTTTCAGTGCTGCTGGGGATAAAATCGGCCACATCTCTTGCAGTTAGAATGATAGCCGGACGACAGAGCTTTAGGAGCACTTGGGCAGGGGTTCAGGGCTCGGCTGCTAACGCTGTGTTTCCTCCCCACAGTACGGGAACTCCGGGGGACCTCTGGTGAACCTGGTAAGTGTCCCCCGAGCGGGCCTCCAGTTTCCTGGGGCCCCGCTCACATGAGGGAAGTGCACAGCCTCGAGGTGGGGATGACAGGAACGTAGCTGGGCTGCAGGCCAGGGAACGTGATCCCCAGTCCCTGCTGTCTGTGCCCCCCAGCCCCCCAGGAATGCTGGTGGCTGTCAGAGGAGTAAGGATGACCCGAGAGCAGCAGCCCAGGCAGGAGCGCGTGCCCATTGGGGACCTGGCGCCGTGGAGACACAGTTGGGACCAGGCTCCCCCCCCCGGCCTCCCCAGCCTAGGGTTTACATGCGAGATGAGGGGGTGTCCCCATTCTCTCTCACTCTTCTCAGTCGCCCTCCCCCAAGTCTGTCCTGGGCCCCAAAGTCAAGCTCATTCTCATCCTGGCTGAGATTCCCAGGATAAATCAGGAAGCCCAGGTCAGAGCTCCGAGGTCCCGAGAATTGTCAGGTGCGGTCCCCACCGGGGGAGCTCCCACTGTGGGGTGGAGGGGATCAAACATGGGCACAGCCAAGTGCAATGTGAGGAACAGAGAGCGAGCTCGGGAAGTACGCTGGACAGGGAAGCCTTGCAGTGATGGAGGAGCAAGGAGGGCTCCCTGGAGGCGGGAGCATCTCAGCTGGGCTGTGGAGATGGAGTGTTGGGGGAGATGGGGACATGCAGGACAAAGATATTCAGGGAGTGGGCACAGCACAGGCAAGGGGCGGGGTCCCAGGCAGGAGCCATTGCTGGAGAAGCAGAGTGGGAGGGATTGGACAATCGGGCAGTGGAGGAAGCTGGGGTCCCCATGTCCTGACATGGATGGAGGTTCACCCTGTACCCCAAGAAGCCCTGCAGGCTTTTAGCAGGGCCCAGGCCATCCCACTGGTGTCTGAGAGAGTTCATGCGGGTAGACTTTAGGCTGGAGGCCAGGAGGCCGTGGGGATGGGCAAACAGAGCCAATGAGAAACCTCTGATCCTCCCCCCTTGAGAGCTCCTGAGGACCAGGAGGGGACGTGTGCTCAGGGGACCAGGCACAGGAAGTGTGCCTTGACCCAAAGTTGTGCCCCCAAGGGGGCCCCTGGAGAGCTGTCCAGGATGTCACCCCTGTGGTGGGCAGAAACACTGGTGGGGGGGGGAGGGGTGCCAGGCTGTGGGGAGGAGCCTTTCCAGGAATGTGTGGTCCCTGGTGGCCAGTGCAGCTCTGGCCCATGGCACCAGCCTGGCGGGGGTCAGGGCAGGGTCAGAGTGGGGACCAGCTCCAAATGGAGGGACAAGGGAGTAGGGGATGCTACAGAGCTTCCCTGGCCCCACTTGCCCCCACCCTGCTTCCAGAGGAAGGCTTAGAGGAGGAGCCAGTCCCCACAGTCCTCACCACATCCCTCTCGGCTCCAGCCCCTTAGATCACTGCCTGGGCATGTCCGGGGCCGGTGGACACTGCTTTCAGGGGCAGCCAACATGCCCAGCGAGGGAGGAGGGGTCAGGTGTGGAGGAAATGGGGGGGAGTTGGGGGTCCCTGCCCTGGATGTGAGCCCCCTTCTAGGACAGCTTCAGGACCATCCCAGGAACCCCTCCGGCCGGGATTGACAGCCAGGGCAGCTCTGGGGCCCTGGACACGGGGCTTTGCAGTGAGGGCAGCAGCTGCTTGGGTTCCTGGAGTGATCGCCCCTCTGATCTCTCCACACCCAGGACGGGGAAGTCATTGGCATCAACACGCTCAAGGTCGCAGCTGGCATCTCCTTCGCCATCCCCTCGGACCGCATCGCGCGCTTCCTCACAGAGTTCCAGGACAAGCAGGTCAAAGGTAGGGAGCACCCCTGGGGCTGGCTGAGGCCAGGAACACTGTGCCAGGGCTCGGGTGCCCCAGCCTCCAGCAGGGGCCAACCCGTCCTTCAGTGCTGTGTGCCCCTGCTCACTCCCTACCAGCCCCGAGATCCTGCGCCTCAGCCTCTCTCAGATCTTCCTCCTCCTCACTTCACGGCCATGTTCACCCCCAACCCCTCCAGACTGGCTGGGAATCTCCTACCTCACTTCCCACCTCCAGCTGCTTGGGCTCCCTGTGTCTCAGCTGCTCTGTAGTTGTCAGAGCCTGGTCCGTCCTTTCTTTCTTCCTTTCTTCCTTTCTTCCTTTCTTCCTTTCTTCCTTTCTTCCTCCTCTCCTCTCCTCTCCTCTCCTCTCCTCTCCTCTCCTCTCC